AGTCATGGCATCCACAACTTTCCTGCACGTGAGAAGGACATGTTTTGTAAGAAAATCTAATTTAATATTAGAAATATAACAAAAAAAGTATGTGAATCATGATATTTGGCACATGAAGAGGGTGTGTATAAGTAAGAAAATTACATATTAGAAAAATGATAAAGAAACATGTGAATTAAACACAATAATGGTCACTCCCGCTTATTGTCAATAAATTTTAGATTATAGATGTAAATTTTGTATTAAAATCTACATCATGCTCAGTTTTCACAATATTATACATCAACATTGTACACCTAGCATTTTCCTCGATATTTACATAACATGCTGATAACTTTATTGGGTCCTGGCACACTCAATTTTCCCTTACACAAGCTCCAGTTATTGAGGCGAGAAGAGTGGAGGGTTTTTTTTTCATAAAATGCCCCTAGATAGTTTAAGAACTTATCCAGGTCCATAGGCGTCGAATCGGAATTTCTGTGTTCTTCCTTTTTCCTTTAAGAGTTGACACTTTTCTAGAAGACCAGTGTGTGGATTATAATGCTATTGAGCATTATTATTTAGATTTTTCTATGTTCTCTCCATCACCTTGAGAGTGACATTTCTCCGTCGGAGGCTTTTCTGAAGTACAGTTCAAGAACTTATTCAGGTCCATATACGTCGAATTGGAATTTCTATGTACTTTCCTTCTCCTTGAGAGTTGAAACTTTTCTAGAAGACCAGTGTGTGTATTATAATGATATTGAGCATTATTATTGAGATTTTTCTATGTTCTTTCCATCACCTTTAGAGTGACATTTCTCCGTCGGAGACTTTTCTGAAGTATCATGCTGTGGTCGTAGAAGAATTGATATGCATTATATGTTCGTTGCCTATATTCGAAAAAAAAAAATATGCATTACATGAGTAGATATGAATCATATATACATTTTATTTTAATTATATATAAAGTTATTATAATAATAATAATTTTCTTAAAATTATTAAATAAATTCATGTTGAATTAATGTTGAATTAAAGAAAAAAAGTATCAATAAATATCCAGTTATTTTTAAAAAAAATTATCAATAAACACTCGTGATGATTTTTAAAAAAATTTATTTGTTTGAAGAGATTTATTTGCTTTTAAAAAAAATATCTAATAAAATCTTTTTGCAATTAATCAAGCCTTTAGTCAACATGACAGTAAACAGCATGCGTAAATTTCAACAATTTAACCCGTGAGGAGGAAACAAAAAAATTTCTAGGTCCGTTCATAGCTACAGCCTACAGGACTTTTCCTTTATATACAATGCAAGTTAAAGCCGTGTTTGCCCCAGCTCCTATTTAGACTGAAATTGATTTACTCTTTTTTCAGCCAAATGGGATTTTCAATACTCTTTTTGTTCTTACTTTCATCTGCTTTTCACATAAATCTCTCTTCCTCCGAAGTTGCTGATGATTTTCGTAAGAGTTGTGATACCAGCAACGGCAACTTCACCGCTAACAGTACCTACGAGGCCAACCTCAATCGTCTCTTCTCCCAACTCTCCTCCGACCAGGATTTCAACCATGGGTTCTATAATATGTCCGTTGGCCAAAGTCCTGATCAGGTCAATGCAATTGCACTCTGCAGGGGAGACCAACAGGAGGACGTCTGCAGAAGTTGCCTGAACGACACTATCTACGCGCTCCAACAACATTGTCCCTACAACAAAGAAGCAATCGGATGGTCAGAATTATGTACTCTACGCTACTCAACACGAAAAATTTCCGGAGTTCTGGAAACCGATCCTTTCACTGGAATGTGGGGAATTGGTAACCGTTCTGCGCCGCGTGATGATAATGATTTCGACAGGGCCTTGAGTTTCTTGTTGAAAAATTTAAGCGTCGAAGCGGCTGCCAGAGGTCCTCTTTCCAAGTTTGCAGCAGGTTTAACAGCTTCTTCCCAAATTATTTATGCCATGGTGCAGTGTACACCGGATCTGTCCCAGCAAAGTTGCAGTGCTTGTCTGGCGAAGGCCAGTGGCGACAGGATGAAGAGCTACTGCTATGGAAGAACTGCGTGCAGAGTTTTGCAACCCAGCTGTTTCTTAAGATACGAGAATAATTTATTTTTGGACGACTACACAGCTAATATCACAATGGTGCCGTTTTCACCTCCTGCAAATCTCTTTCGTTGTTCTGTAACCCTGCAATATATTGATTAAAAGTAGGATACGGAGGCTTAGATAACTTTTATAACGACATCTTGATAAATCAAGAATAAAGTCATGCAAAATGAAATAAAACATCAATCTAACCTCCTATTTCCCGGTAGAAAAACTACTGAATGTTGATTCACAGAAAACAAATAACTGTTAAATAACCTTGAAATGGGAACCAAACCAATGAAGAAAATTAATTATAACATGGTAATTGCCAGGTCTTAAGCTCATTAGAGAATAGAACTTTATCAACCCACCAAACCAACCGAGAGTTTGTTGCAAAGAGAGCTCCAACATTATCAGCCAATCATGCAATCACCAAACTTGCAGTATAAAGGGGTCAGGAATGCATCAATTATTTTCTTTCATAACAAAATTTCATCACTTGATTTAAAGACTCCAACAGATAATACTTAACTAAGTGATATCAAAGATGTTAGCTTTCTTCTGAAGTATACGCCGAAAATAGACAGGTCCTAATCAAAATCAAGACTTTTACCTTCATGTAGTGAAAATAATTAATACTGACATGATCATAGAAAAAAAATTATTGTGGTGATAGAGAAAATGAAAACCTGAAATCCCAAGGAAAATCAAATAGCAGAGCAACGATCTTTTTTTTATTATTTTTTTTTAAAGAAAGGTGAAAGTAATAATAGAATTTTGGATTACTAACCGTCCTTACGAGCAATTCCCCATGCCTTGCCATGCCTTCCATCCTGCAACAACCAGGACCTCATAAACCCTTAAACCCCAACTATATAAAACAAAATATGAAAGAGATAAACCCCCTCCGTCTCCCAGCTTCTCATTTGATCCCAACAAATTGTATCAGAAAAAAAACCCAAAACACTGAACGCTAAACCCCTAAATTGAAGTGAAAGAAGAGGAATTTGAGAGAGAGACCTTGTAGAGATTGATCTTGGTGATCTGATACGAGACATTTGTCCAGTGAGTTTTCGCCATGTGGTAGCCGATACCCCAGTTGGGCAAGAACTGGGCTACCTCAAACAGATTCTTCTTTCTTCGTTTACGTTTCTTCGTTGCCGAGGAGGCACTAGGGTTTTGAGTAGAGGGCGAAGCAGTGCTCAAGTTCCGTACGAAATTGAATGAAAGCCTAAGGAACCCAAAGGGTTGATTTTGCAGCGCTCTATGTGCGACGGTAGTCGCCATTTTTGTTCAGTTCT